CTGATAAAAGGTTAGGGTGTAAAGAAAATGGAGCGGAAGAAGTAAAAGATCATCCATTTTTCAAAGGAATCGATTGGCAATTGGTTTATCTACAAAAATATCCTCCTCCTTTAATACCTCCACGAGGTGAAGTTAATGCTGCTGATGCCTTCGACATTGGCTCGTTTGACGAGGAAGACACTAAAGGAATTAAATTATCTGATTCAGATCAAGAGTTATATAAAATTTCCCGTTGTAATCAGTGAAAGGTGGCAGCAAGAGATTGCTGAAACAGTTTTGATACCATCAACATGGAAACCGACAAAATTGAACAAAACGTAAAGCCAAAACAAAATGTAGATTTGAAGATGAGAAAGAATCTGATTGTATACTTCATGGGTACCTCAAGAAGCTTGGTGGACCTTTCGGGTCGAATTGGCATTCAAGGTATGGTAAATTATATCCCAATCGACTTGAACTCCATAGTGAATCTGTTAACACAAAACCTGAACTCATATTTATGGATCAAATTGAAGACATCTCACCCGAATATGTTCAAGTTAAAAATGAAAATGCAATACTTGTCAAATTAAAAGGTGAACCCGGAAAAGATACCAAAATTGTGTTGACCAATCCTGATGAAATCGGAATTAAGGAATGGCTTCACCCTTAAGATCGACTCACAAAGACTCTGTGGAGCTTCTTGGTAACATGGCTAAGAAAGCGACCAAAATTTATGGAGCCGAAAATCGTACAACACCAGCCAATATTCAGCCTCCCTCAGGACTTAATACCAGTACCGCTGCAGCTCATGTGACCAATGTTTTGAGTAATCGTAACAGTAATTGAAAAATTGTGAAAACAACTCAATGTTGATCAATTAATTTGGATCAACAAAATCAAAAATCATCTTTTTTTTTGAATAATCGTCTTTGCTGTTATATTATACAACAAAAAGGAGAAAGCATAAAGTCCTTCAATCAAAGCTTAAGTGGAGCTTTAAATTTACAAAGAAGCACCAAATTGAAACAAATCAACTCGATAAGAAGAATTGATTTGCATAGCTACTTCGTTCTATATATATAAGAGAATCAACATTCATAACATGCACATACACAGAAAACAACAACAAAACCAAATTCATAACTAACATTTCACTCATTAACTTCATTGAGAAAGAAAACACCGCATCTTCATTTTCACAAATCCAAACAACTTATACATACAAAATACATAGAGAGATTTAAATTCGTAAAAAAAATCAACCTTCTCTGCTCTTTTTTGCTTCTTCTTCTCTATGTAACGTAATATTCATTCTCCTCGTTCTATTTGTAACATCACCAACAGTTTCTCGATGATGTATGGATCTTCATCTTCATCATCATTTTCATAATTATTATCATCTTCATTCTCATCACTTGTCGTCATCATCAATGATATTTCTTACTGTTCACATCACGATGAAGAAACATTCGGAAGCCTATTTTGCTCTGTCGTGCGCTTTACACTTTCACTTCCCTTTTCATCATAATCACCTTTCTCTCTCTCTCTCTCTCTCTCTCTCTCTCTCTCTCTCTCTCTCTTCCCTTTCATCTTCTTCATCTTCTTCATCCTTTATCTGTCTCTTTGGTACTCTACTTGTAATCCAATGTCAATTTATCGGATCAATCCAAAGGAACCAAAAAATAGTGAATTTTATCAAGAGCGAAAAGACAAGAAAAATCAAGAAATGCGAAGGTAGAGAAAATGAAAATTGAGATTCGCAACAAAAAACAAGCACAAACACAAAGCCTAAATCGATCTCACTTCATTAACTTTTTAATTACATTAATCTTCATACTCATCCATCCTTTGCCACACTTCGGTCATCAGCTTTCTAAAGCCACAAACGGATTAGAGAGATTTGTAAATCTTGATAATACCTGTATAAATATTCATGAGAGGCAGAAACGCTTCAATCTATGTGATCACAAGCTACTTCATCGTATTTGGTTGTAATCTTTCCTCTCTCTCTTTCTTTTTCTCTATTTCTTTAACTCCTCTTGATGTTAAAATATAATTACCAATATTCGATCGATTCCTGCGTCCAATCAGATCGAGAACTTGTGCTTTTCCGTTAATTACCTTTGTTACCTACAACAAATTGATGTTTTTTTCCTCATGAACAATGGATAACAACAAGAAGAAAAGGATTGATCAAATTGTTTAATTACTGTTATAATTATTACGCTTATAAACTGGTTTTAATGGTGATTTATACTCAACAAATTACCTCTCGTTATTACTGTAATGTGTTACCAAAAGTTATAAGACTCGAACAAAGAAAGAAACAAGAAAACACCGTTAAGATATTCTCGTTGAAACGGAACTTTTATCAATCATCTTCACGAAAGAAAAACATCAATATTTGTAATCGAAATTTTCGATAAACTATCATAAACCTCGAAAACAAGGTGATGAAGTGCAAAAGAAGAGACAAAAAGTGATCTCGTTGATAGTAATCATCAATTAACGTAATGTTGGAATTCCCTTTGATTGTGACAACAATTGAAAAAAATACGTTAATCTCGACAAGTTGATCTATTTCTTTTCTTTTTATTACCACTGTTAATTACTTCTAATTTCCATTAACTGTTTTAAGTCATTATCTTTTTCTGTTACAAGTTAACCTTCTCTTCCTCTCTCATTTTAATCTGATATTTATAACTTTATCTTAATTAATCTAATATTGTCCAAAAAGAAACATCAACAACCAAACACAATTAAGGAAACAGGAAAGAAAAAGTAGTTACATTAATCAAGTATCAACACCATCATCAATATCATAATCACCATCACAATCATCGTCAGTAAACAAACAGCAACAATGTCCAATTGTAATGAAGGATAAACCAAACCAAAGGTTTTTAATTGTAAATCTCAATCTTGTAATATTACAACTTAAATCAGCCAAATCTCTGTCCCGATTAATTAGTAATCACTTTCTCCCTCCTTTGTAACTTATCTTCCTCATCATTATCATCATTATCTATTGTTATACCTTCTCTCTTTCTCTCACCAATCATTGTAATTGTTTCTTCTGTCCTCTAACTCTCTCTCTCTCTCTTCATCTTCTTCATCTTCTTCATCTTCTTCATCTTCTTCATCTTCTTCATCCTTTCCGGTTCCTCCTCCACTTCTCATCATTGTAATTCCTCCTTTGTAGCCTGAACTCGAGTTTATAACTGTACCTCCAACCTCATTGGAAGATGTTTTTTGTTGAGGGTCAACAGTTGATTAGTCAATTGTTTGCTTAAAGAAAACAACTTTATATCCACCAGTTAGATTGTTAATTGAAAACTCTGGTCAATTAATCCTCTCTTTTTACATTATCACCAATCCAAGATTATCCTCTTCTCATTTTCTACTTCAATTATTAGAGCTTTATAATGTTTGTAAAATCATCAACGTTGATCAACAAACACAACAACAAATGTCCCTCAGTAACTTTGTCATAATCATCAACTCTTTTACTATTGTTAATCTTAATCACTCCATTTACAGTATTCGTATGTTTTATGATGATTGTAACAATTATGATCATGATTATTACTCCATCATGTCTTTTCTTTAATAGGATTCAATGTAAAGTAATAACAATTTAATATTACTACTCAGTGGAAGTAACTAAATTTAGAATCATTTATTGTAGGTTTTAACACAGAGATAGAGATAGAGGATAACAAGTTAACTTGTTTCAAAATGAAAAAATTGATCGATGATTATGATTAACTTAATTTAAATAGATTGATGTTCAAAAGAATAATTGATGATTTTAATTATCTCTTGAATATGAAGAAAGAAACTGATTGTTACTTAATCTCTTCTTTTACTAATCATCACCATTCAGGTGATAATTTGTATTCGCATGATAACAATCAATTGCCATTCTCAATCTTCCGTTGAAAATGAACTGAAAATTAGCACCAACCATGACCTTCGATGAAAATGTCTTCCAATTTTCAAAGAATTTTCTCACCATGAATAACACTTAGTACTCAGAACAATTGAAATGATTAATTATACTACCATGGTAATAATACGTTGATTAGATCCAAATTGTTCCCACTTGCAGTTGATCATCTTCCACCTTCCACCTTGAATCCTCCGTCTCGTTCTCATCTTATTACCTTATGTAAATTTCTGGTTTCCAATTGATTAACATTTTCCACCTTCAACAAGTCAACTACCTCTCTTTTTAACTCTCACTTCTCATCATCATCTTCATTGTCTTCACTTCCTTTCATGTTTCCTCTTCATCCTTCCCACCCCACCCTCACTCTTGCTCTATCCTTTTTCCTCTGACAAAATGTACTTTCTTTTCTTGTCATTTTTTTGTTGATGTCTCTTCATTTCTCTTCATGATGATGATGATGCCTGTTAACCCTTCATCTCTCTTCCTATCTCTCATTTCTCATCTTCATCCTTCTTCTCGTTTCTCTGTTTCCTCTTTCACTTTTCTGGACTATTTCAGTTCTAATCATTAACTTCAATGTTACCACTCAAATTATCAGAAAAATCAGAAAATCGAATGGGATTTGATTCTATTGTATAAAATAAACTCAATACGCTTTTCGAAATTAAAAAAGGAAAACATCTCATTTTTTTTCTTTATTCTATACTCAGTCAATTATCTTCTCCAAATATTACCTGTAATTCAATTAATTCATCAATTAACAGAGGTGATAAAGGAGAGATTGAGAATAGGTTTGTATTCATCTTACTTGAATTAACTATTTAAACAGCTCATTGATTGAAACAATTGACCAGCAATCGATTAAGAGATTGGAATAGATATTGACACTATTTTCTAATCCAAATTGCAATTAAGTTAATGAAACAGATATTTTCTCAAAAAGATCATGAAGATAAGTAACTAAATTGGATTTATTATAATTACCATCATCATCATCATCTTTCCTCTACATCAACACGTTAATCATGTATTGATTCAACTTCAAGATGATTGAACAATCAACTTTAAAAAAAACCTGAGAAGACAAGTTAGTTAGTTGATTGCGTTTCATTTTTCTCAAATAAACTTTTTCCTCTTCTTGATCATCAACAAATCATCTTTAACTTTTCTTGTTAATCACTTTAAGCTAATACCTGATGTCTTAATAATCATCACCTTTAATTGTCTTCTTCTTGTTTACTTCCCACCCATTTTTTTCATCCTTCATCTTCCTTGTTCAACTTATTCTCATTTGCTTCTGTTATCCGTTGAACCGATCACAATAACAACGTGGACAAGATCAGCGACAACGACCTGATCCAAACCGAAGTAAAGTTTAAATTGATCTGAAAATTTACAACTTCAATCGTAATCATTTTGACTATCGTGCTAATCAATTGTCCAGTTTATCTGAATCTCTTATTGAAATGACAACCGAATCAAGTAAAGTTGAAACAAATGAAGTAAAAAGTGATTTGGTCACTGGTTATTATGAACAAGATGGATACAAAATTCACTACGAGAAAGTTGGTCATGGTGATTGTGCTGTCTTCATATTTCCTGGAGCTTGTGGTGAGTCATTTAATTATAATTACAACTCTTATCTGAATGTAAAAATCAATCAATAACTTAATCCAATGTCAAAACTTATCATTGACCGACAATCATTACCTGTGGATTCAAATGATTGGTAATTGTTGATTGTTTTATCGAATCAGGAAATGGCCGAACTGATATGAAACCACAATTAGATGGCTTTGATAAGGATAAATTCACCTTAATTGCTTGGGACTCACCTGGATTCGGACTGAGTCGTCCCCCTGAACGAGATTATAAACTTCATGCTGAGGATAAGTTTTTACCAATACGATGCTGAGACTGTGGTTAAATTGATGGCAGTAGGTTCATTTTCTTCATGTTTTCCTATTACAGATCAAATTGTTGTTCCAATGTTATTTAAATTTGATTGATTATTTAGTTTTTTCATTCACTAACTTGAGAAAAAAATTCTTTCATAACTGTTGATCAAATTGAATGAGAAAAGTTTCAATTGAGTTTTTTTCTCTCATCAAATGAATGAACAAATCTTCCTGAAACTTTGTCAACATCAGAAGTTTTCATCTTTTATCATCATTTTCATTCAATTTAATTCAATCTCTCTTATCAATTAATCTTGTATTTTTCAAGTTGATCATTGAGAGTTAATTCAACAGGTTGATTTGCAATTAATTATTCACAATTCGAGTGTTAAACCATAAGGATAATTTGATTTTAAGGGTTATAACAATTAGTGTAAATTGTCATTCATTTTAATTAGTTGCAGGTTTATAAAAACCAATTTAGTCTTGAAATGTATTCAGTTTAATAACTTTTTAGGTGAAAAATAAGATCAGTTTTTTAGGTGAATGTTAGTTCATCTAATTATTAATAATCAGAAAAATAGATTCAAATGATTGGTTGAATTAAAAGTAAATCAATCAAATTCATTTCAATTCTGTCTGCTGGTAATCAAATTTTTTTTTCTCAAAAAGTTTCTAATCTGATTACTTTAATAACGAGGTTATTGGTAAATTGTTGGAGAAAAGCTTAGTAATAATCGTTAAAATTGGATTATTTTCGTTTCCAATTAGTTGATTGTCGAGTTTTCTAATTGTATCAGGACAAGAAATGCGAAAAGCAATCAACCTAAAGTTAATTTGCATGTCTCTTTTTTTTCTGTTTCCAATTAAGACTAATTATCGACGTCAGTTCGTTAGTTTGAGGTCACTTTTGTTTCCAATATCTAAATTGTCTTTAAGATCATTTGAATGTTTGATGTTTTTTACTCATTTCGTTTCATTCATCATAAAGCATTTAGGTTATGACAGTTTCTCTGTAATGGGCTGGAGTGATGGTGGTAAATCTGCCTTACTGGTTCCCATTTTGTTCCCGGCGAAAGTTGAAAAGCTTGTGGTTTGGGGAACTTTGGCTTATATTCCAGAGAAATATAAAGATATGTGGAGAATTCTTTGTACTCTGGAAATGTGGGAAGAATCCCGAAGGAATGAGTACATCAAAATCTATGGTAATCGTGAGACACTCGAAAAGATTTGGTATAAACACATGAGTTACACTTATACCACAAGCGACATTTGTAAGGACAGAGTAAAGGAAATTAAATGTCCGACTTTCGTGTTACATGGTAAGAAAGATACTATGATCCCGAAAGAGTTTTTCGACCATTTGGTGGCAAATATTCCCGACGTTGAATCTCATCTATTTCCTGATGGAGTTCATGATATTCATGTCAGTCATGCTGAACAATTCAACAGGCTGGTTCAGAGATTCCTTTTAGATTGAATTCGTATTGATTGACACGATGAAATCTAAAATAATAAACTAATTTGATTGTACGATGTATTCGTCTATTACTATTAAACGATTTTTAGAATAACCGTAGTTTCATCCACTGACCTGCGGTTGAATGAATTGTATATTTGCTTTTATCACAGGTAAAACTACATTATTTACAGTTAAAAATGTCCCCGATTTACAATAGACTTTACAAAGGAACGACATAACTGTACTAATATTTACACAACAATTAGGAGAGAATATAATTAGCTACTTGTTTATTTGTCTTTTTTCAACGATGCAAATGGATCTGTCCATGACTTGAAACCACCGGGTTGAATGGACTCTTTATCAACTCCTTTACGATTCCTTTCTTGAATCCGACCTAAGAAAATAAAATAAAACAAATCAAAATCAATTTAGTTTTCTAATAAAATATATTCCAAGTGAATCAGATTAAGGAAAGATCTGTGACAATCTCACAAATAAGCTTCCAAGTCACTGAATTTTCGATTGTATCATACTGAACACTTTTGAACAATAAATAAACAGTAAAAATTTCATGAAAAATACAGAATTTCAATGAATTAACTTTACTTACGATATTCAGCATTTCTTGATTTCGGAAAAAAATAAAGTGGATAAATGGAGCCGATGATCACACCAGCGACTATTAAAACCAGATTACGACCCTTACCTACCTTCCATGTAGACAACCTGATAGACATGGATATAAAATAATCAACCAAATAATCTGAACAAAACAAAATAACACAATTAAAATGAATTAAATTCAATCAAAGACAAAAATGAAAATTTTCAAAACATAAACAACCACAAATTTAGAGACTTTTTCTCCCGCTAGATGGCACTGAAATTCATTCGTTAATTTAAATCAATTAATTTTTAATTAAAAGAGATTATGATGATTGATTGAATATTAATCGATTGAGAATTAAGTTCAACACAATGAGAAATTAAAAATTGAATATTCAATCAGTTGGTTCTAAGCAATTAGAATAATCTTTTTTTCTATTGGAATTTTTTTCAACATTGAAGATTAGGAGAAAGTCCCTGAAGATTTAAATCCTAAATTTCCACATGGTTTTGGTCAGAATTTTGTTTGAATATAAATTGGAATAGAATTTGTTTTCTAATTGTTTTTTTCTCTTGATTTAAATTGTTTTGTGTTAATTTGTTGAACCATGGGTAAGAAAGCTACTGCCCGGAAGACACTTCCTTCTCATAAAAGAGTCTACATGACTCGAAGTCGGGCCATGCAACGGCTCCAATTATCATTGAAGGATTTCAGGCGTTTGTGTATTTTAAAAGGTGTTTATCCGGTTGAACCGAAAAAGATTAAAAAAGGAATGACTCGAGGTAAAACATACTATTTACGAGATGATATTAGGTATCTTGGTCGTGATCCGGTAATCTGGAAATTCTGGGAATATAAAACATTTCTTAGAAAGATGACTCGAGCAAACGCCCGGAAAGATGAACACAAATTAGCAACTCTACGAGATAATGTGCCGACATACAAAATGGATCATATTGTTAAAGACAGATATCCAACGTTTATTGATGCTCTTAAAGACTTGGATGATGCTTTATGTATGTGTTTTCTTTATGGAAATTTCTCCAAAATCAAAGGTGTTCCTGTAGAGATAGTTGATCTTTCTAGACGGTTAACACTTGAGTTCATGCACTATGTTATTGAGTCTAGATCATTGAGAAAGGTTTTCATCTCAATTAAGGGTTATTATTATCAAGCGGAGATAATGGGCCAAACAATAACATGGATTGTTCCCCATCAATTCGTTCTGTTGGTAAGTTTTTTTTTAGTCAATTCTAACTGTCAATTTAAATCTGGTTCGTCCCTATTTCATTTATAGTAAATATCTAATATTAATTTTTCTGTTCTTCTTTCCAAAGTCTAATCCCGAAGTTGACATGAGAGTCATGAGATCCTTCACTGAATTTTACATCACTCTTCTTGGATTTGTTAATCATAAGCTTTTCTCTAGTATCAACATGTATTATCCTCCAAGAGTAAGTTCTTCATCATCATTGTCTCATATTGAATTTACATTTTATTAATGATGATTTTTTTAATTACAGCTTAGCCTTGCTAAAGAGATGGATAAGGAAATAATCACTGGAGAGGATAAACTACATGCTATGTATGAATATGTTGGATCATTAAATAGATCATTACCACGCCGAAAAGAAGATATTCCTGCGGAGAATAAACCAGATGAGTTTGAAGAAGATGAAGAAGAAGAAGAGGGTGGAGAAGAAGGTAAAGAAGAGAGTAAAGAAGGTGAAGAGGAAAAAAAGAAGAAGAAAACAATATCATATCATCAGCTGGTTAAACAACAAAACTTATTTAAAGGTCTTAAATTTTTCCTTGGCCGTGAAGTACCTCGAGAATCATTGACATTTGTGATAAGATCTTTTGGCGGACAAGTTTCATGGGACAAAATTTCATTCGTCGGTGCCACTTACAGCGAAGCCGATACTACCATAACTCACCAGATTGTTGATAAAGAAGTGATACCCAACAAATACATGAATCGCTACTACATTCAACCGCAATGGGTTTACGATAGTGTTAATGCTCGAACTTTACTTCCAGTCGAAAATTATTTCCACGATGTAGTCTTACCTCCACATTTATCTCCATTTGTAGAAATGAAGGAAGGCAGTTATGTGCCACCGAGCATTTCTTACCAACAAAATAACGCCTTTGGTGAACGACAGGGAACAGAAGAGAACGACGATGAAGAAAGTGGAGAAGAAACTGAGGAGGAAGAGCCTGAAAATAAAGTCGAACATCATATTAAGGAATTAAAGATGAAAGTAAAAGCAGGTAAAGAAGTGAAAACAGATCGAAAACGTAAGGTAGAAGAAGAGAAAGCCGAAGAAAAGAGACTTGCTGTCATGATGATTCCAAAGAAACGAAAACGATTGTACGATAAAATCATGTATGGAAAACGACGAAATGTCCGAACCGCTGAAAAGCTCAAGGAGAAACGCGAAAAGTACGAGGCTTCCCAAGGAAAACAGACCAATCAAAACAATAAATCTAAAAACAAAACAGCAATGAAAAGAAAACGACAACATTGATCATCGCATCTATTCAAGCAATCGGATTATCTTCATCTTGATGCTACTAGAAACACAAATTCACTTTTTATCAACTTCGTGCCTTTCGGACTCCAGTCAATTGGTCAATTATTTGAATCCCTTTTCGATTTTGATCAATTGCTTGTAAATAAACGCGCTAATTAATGGTTTATTAAGACGTTCAATCAATCATGATAATGGTATATAAATAAGTTAACAGTGATTCAAGTTTTTGTGATTAAATGGCTCGGATAAGAAAAAAAATCCCAGAATTAATTGTTAAGTGTAAATCCCTTGTTATTGATCACCTCATTAATCAATATGATCGCGTCAATAGTTTCAACCTTTTCATGAACAAGGATCATTTTTATCAAAGATTATTAATATGATTTAACTGTTTGATAGTTTCAAATGTTAACTCGCGATTAGTTGGTCATTTAAACGTCAACTGTTGAATTGATGTGTTCGACTCATCAATTAGTAACCATTGGTGAACAATTAACTTTAAATCAATAGGATTATTACACATCATTTAACTTTATTGTGTTAATCATTTTTTTTTTTCATCAAAATCGTTTCCAAATCATTAATCATTTTCACTGGAAAAGGTAATCAAAGTTTAAGAAACAAATGATTGTGTCTCTTGGAAGTAAATGATTATTGTTATAAATTAAGTTAATGGCATTTCCTTCATCATGTTTTGGTTTCCAATTCTTTATCTTCATTAACTTTTTCATCTTCTTGGATAATTAATGTAATTAAATCACAGCGAGAAATGGGAAAGAGAAAAAAATGGCAAATTGTTTCGTTTACAAAATTAACATTCTGTGTAACATATTAAAATGAGGACAATGAAGTCTTATTTTTCATTGATTTAAATTGCAATCCGATTAGAGTTGATTCATTAGATTTAATCTGGATCAATAATAATAAAATGATTAGTTGATGTTTTTCAGTTGAACAGTGACTAGGATATACATATTAATGAATATGTTTAAAAGAACCAAAGGAACCAAAGGTAATTAAGATTATGATTCGAATGAGTTGATCAAAATTAAGAGAGAAGATGAAAAGTTGTTGATGATTGTTGATTCTCTCTGGATTTTTAGGTTGGAAACGGAGAGATTAAGAATCTTGGGGAAAGGATTATCTTCGAAGTATCATCACAAAATCCATTTTGAATGTAGACTTGATTTGCTTGATAAAAGTTATATAATAGTAATGAAGAATAGAACAATTGATGAGAAGAGAAAAGCTTAATTGTGAGCATTAATCTTTAGAAATGTTATTCATTATTTCAACCTTTTGGAAATGAAGGTAATCAAGATTTGACTGAGAATAGAAAGCAACAAAAATCCTAAAATCAATTTGATTTGCTGAGAATTACCAAGTAATCCAACAATTTCTGAGTTGCTTTGGGATGTTGATTGTTTCGTCTTCCCTTGTTGTAGACTTTTTGGTTGATTGGAGGCATTAGGATGAAGTTGTTTCTCAATGGTGCATAATTTATCATGAAGTAAATTCAATTTATCGACAATTTGTTCAATTTGTCCTTTTCCAGCTAAAAGAAGGTTGGTTTCAGTTCGATTCTCGAGATGCGAATTCGAGGTTGCCGATACTGAACTATGTTCACTGCCTAAGCTTTCAGTCTTCTGGTCTCTGGGTGATTTGGGAGATCGATGAGTGGACAATCGAGCAGCAGTCAATGGATTATCGATCGAAACAACTGAACTGGTTCGACAAGCAACTGTTGGTGTTTTATGACGAGTTTTGGTTTGGATTTGAAAGTTTCGTTCGTATTGTAATACATCCGTTCGTTGATCCCATGGACGTGAATCGAGATGTTTGTAAACCCAATCACCGCTACACAGATCGTGGATAAAATTGCGAGAAGTCCAAGATTCTTTGTTCATTAATCGTTCTCTTGCCCCTCGGCGTTGCTCTTCTTCAAGAATGGTCTTCTCATCAGTTGCGGCAATTTGATCGCCTTTAATTATTGCATTGGTTACATTTCTCCAAAGTTTGTCTGATTCAAAATCTTCTTGGGAATCTAATGGAACCAGAAACCTTTTGAGTCTACAATTTCTTACTTCCGGTGTAACCTCCCACAGAACAGATTCTTGACCAGTTCGTTTGTCTTTCACTTTGATCAGGGTGTCCCAATGTCCATCCAGAGTGCATAAAGTTTCCTTTCAAGTTTTATTTTACCGACAACATTATTACACAGTTCAGATCCTCCAAGGAAAGGTTTCAATTTGAATTCCATTTCAGTACAATAGCCCGTTTTTTCACATTTAATGTCAACCTTACCTCCCAATTCTAGACTCAGATTCCCCATCAGGATACCTTTACAGTGAGCATAGGGCATTGTTAGGTGTAGTCTTCACCACGGGTGAGAAAGGTTAGCTTAGCAGTGCCATTTAAAATGGCAGAAACTGAATTACCATAGAACTTTGATTTAGCAAGTATACTTCCTGATATACAGTAACCATCTTTCCTGTTAGTTACATAGAAGGTGCTGATTGGTGGATGATGGGAAACTTGCTCGGAAATATAAAAGGTTCGACTATCGGTTTCCGGATGAGCCCAATAACAGCGGAAACACTCACCCAAAATTGGATTGTAAGGTTTTTTGAGACCTTTGGGTTTCTTGTAGAAACCGGAAAGATACCATTTGACCACTTTTTTCATTCGTATTAATGGATCTTCCTCGATAACCGCTTTAGAAAGGATATCACAGTGGTAATAGTAGTCACTTAATTTGTCTAGAAATGATCGAGGTTCCAATATGAAAGTGGGTAGAACAACTTTCGAAAGATCCATTCCAGGTCGAACTTGTTTCAATAAACTCCATAGTAAAGATTTGTTCTCTTCAGCTACCTCTTCGGTTTGACATTCTTCGCCCATGGTTGACACATCTTCTGTAATCTCTTCAACGTAATTAGTCTCAATTATCGTCTCTTCAATTGATTGGCTTAAATTAAAGCCAAGTGTTCCACCGATGGATTGTTTAATTGCTCGAGATGGTCGTGGTTCATGTATACTAATGGTACTTGAATCAGAATCAGTTGAATGGTGTCCTTGAGAAGCTGTATCAGGATTTTCTTCATGATCAGTTTGCGTATCATCTTCCAAATCATGATCTTTAAAGTGACGCTCAATTTCACTTTCATCTAAATCTAATTTAGCTGATGTTGGTGGGGAACAATCTTCAGCTGAAGAATTTAAATTACTAATGAAAGAGTTTAAAGTGTCTCGAGGGTTACCCCCACTTCTCATCAATACAATTGAACAATTAAGAGAAACTTCTATCGCTTTCATCCAATTGAGACCTGCTTGTTCAGATGGAGCTCTAAAAATAAGATAGTTCATCGGTAAAGGCTGTACAATGGCACCGAATGATTCACCGCGAGGACCACGAGGAGCCCAAATAGTTTGATCCAAAGGGTTAAAAAGTTTGAAACAAAATCCATCCTTTTAGAAGGTCTTTCAATTATCTCACATATTCAGTAAAATGGTTCCAACCCAATATCCGCTTTTATGAGTCTTGGAATTTTTGTAAAGAACCAGAAGACCAGGTTTAAGCTCACAGTAAAGTTTTGTCCAACTTTTGAGTGTCCCCCTGACTTTAAGCCAGTCCGCCATCACGAGAACTGTTGGATCGTTTAAAATGGAAAGTAATTCTTCAACGGCCTTCTTTTTCTGCTTCTGGTATAATCGTTTACTGTCCTTATAAGAGTCACGCTTAATTGATCCAGGTGGAATTACCTCATAATTAATATTAGCTGTTAATGAGGTGGGAGTGGTAGGTGATAGAGGATCACTGGCATTATTGGATGAGATGGATGAAGTAGACATTGTTGTCTTTAATGATTGGTGGGGATGAGGATGTGATGAGTGTACATGATGGTGGCTGTTGATTGGAGCCAAGTTGATGGTATGATCATTGTTTCCCGTAGATGTTGTTGGTTGTGGAGAGGAAGATGATACTGGTTCATTTGATGATGTAGGTAAAGATGATAAAGTTGGTACAGTTGTTGATGTGGTGATACCATCACTAGAAGCCATATTATTTAATTGTAGTAAATGTTAAGAAGGTTAATAGATGAATGAAACTTTGATCACAATTTTATGATGAAGGTGATGACGACAACATTGATGTTGATAATTTGAGATAAATATTTCCTTTGTATTTCCTGTTAGTTCATAAAAATAACCAACACACAGATAAAAGATGAGAAATAAAATATCATCCAGGTTGATTGAAGCATGATGTCAATAATAATCTCGAGTAATGGGAATTGTTCATTCTCATCCAAGTAAAAAATACGAAAATAAAACACACAAACACAGACAACTAAAACCAATAAGATATTGAAACACTAGAAGAAGAAGAAAAAGAAAAATATAAAATGAGAAGAAAAACAAAACAAAAGCTTGAGATTGAGAGAGATGAAAATAAGTGGAAAGGAAATAACAACAAGGAAAGATGAAGGCAAAAGAAGGAAGAAACCAGAGAAAAAGGTAAACAAATGATAGTCAGAATTTTAAGAAAAGACGACAGCAGAGAGAGAGAGAGAGAGAAGAAGAAGAGAGAAAGAAAATTGTAAAAAAGAATAAAATTTATCAACTTACCTTGAACAGGAGAGATTGATGATTATCCAACAATAGAATAGAAATAAAGAAAAATATATCAGCTAAAAGCAATTAGTGAATCATGATAGACTCTATTGGAAATGTTGGTTTTGTAATATGAATATTATTGATGACTGATGATGATAATGATGACAATTACAATAACAGTTTAATAACGATCAAGATGATGGATAAAAAAGGTGGTGGAAGTAAACTAAAGATGATAAATAAAAGGTATTAATCTGTATTGATTAACGTAATCAGATGATTAAAGGGAAACATGAACAAGAGACATGCTCATATAAACAAAGTTCATTTAATTGAAATCCAATTACTTTTTAAAGTGTATTGTTAATTAGGTAGAGTAACATGATATTGGATTACACCAACATTCACAATAACAATTAATAAATTAAACAGACAATTAAAGAGTCAATTGAAAGTCTAACAGTTGAAGAGAAAAAAATTAATTAAGGAAATGAAACTTGTTTTCATTTATTTTTTTTTCTCTTCTTGATTGAGCTGAGTGAGAATATTTTTTTTCTTCAACTAGATGGCGACACTTTAAGAGAATTTAAAACATGACAAAGAATGGAAATTAATTAATTTCTGTTAATTGTTAAGTAATTGGATCATTTTTCTTTATCATTTATTAATTGTTATCTTTTTAAGTTTGTGAATTATTCAGGATCAGGATTCTATATAGTAAGTATTGTTTTTTACTTTAGAAATTTGTATCAATTGTCTTTTCTTTAAGAAGGTTTTCTTTTCCTTATTTATGACTAAAGGTTATCACATGTTGAATTGATTTCTATTTTTGTTTTGATTGTTATTATTTATTTATTGATTAGATTTTTATTTTTAGAAACAATTAAGAGATGCCTATGACGGAGAAGGATATTGCTGATCAAATTAAAGTGTTGACATCTCAGCTTGGACTGATTAAAGATCAATGTAAATTATTGGAAGATGAATTGAAACGACTTGAAATGGAAAGAGAGCAAATCAAAATGAAAGAGTTAAAGGAAGAAGAGGAAAAAGAGGTTAAAGAACATCAATGTCAATGTCAATGTCAACAATTAGCAGTTGATGATTGGAGAATAATTCATTTAAAAGAAAATCCAGTTGACAATAGGATCAATCGAGACTGGGAACATTATCGATTTCTCAAAGCAGAGAATAAAAAACTCGCCGCCCGATTGGAAATAATTGAAGCTGGTCAGGTTGCCGACATCACTCGAATGGTCAATGAAGAGATTAATTATAGTTCGGAGATTGAACGTCTCAAAATAGCCTTACAAATATCCGAATCAAAGAGAGGAAAATACATTGAGGAGTGTAAAAAGCAAATCAAAGAATTGAAAGAAGCATTTCTAAGTCTAACTGGATGCCGAATCGAATTCACTTCCAATGGTTACAAGGTGTCGTTCCTTTACGCTGAGAATCAAGCATCGGATTTATTATTGTTCAAAATGGAAAACAAAGAGCTCGAACTATTGGAGAATGATTTTTCGAAAAGCCTGAAAACTTTTGTCCATCGTTATCTTGTCCAGCACGATAGTTACCCGGCATTTATTGCCGCAATAACATTACACTTATTCAAGAAATCATTTAATGTTGAATAAGTTGTTTTATATTTTTTATCGAGTTAATCAATTCTGCCTAAAGTTAATTTTTTCAATTTCATATTCTTGATTATATTTTTAATTTTTAATTTCTCTTCGCAATGATCTCAATCAAATACCATCACATTCAATCAAAATTTCTGAAAAGAGACAATTAATCTATTGGAACAGAGTAACAATTTCTTTTAACTACTAATACTCATTTCGATTTTGTTAAAAATCAATTATTTGTATCCAAATGTTGGTCCAACTTTGAAATTCAATTTCCATTTTATAAAATGATTAAAGTTTTTCGTATATCGTTTCTTTATTGAAAAAGAATCTCGACTATTGACAATCGATTGATCTAATTACATTTAAGAGTAAGAAGATTTGAAATTGTTCATCTAACTATTGTCTGAGAAATTTTCAGACAATTTATGTGAATTTATATATAAATAGTGTGAATTTTGTTAATTTTGAGCAAATCGAAATTATTAATAATATAAGGCAATGATTGTTGCTTTGATTCGTTCGAGTCCTTAGACTCTTAATCATTTAAGGAACCATAATTGCTCCTTTGGCTTCTTGGGTTTTGGCCTCGATTTCTTTGGTCCAATCATGTTTACCAATTCTTGTAATTGTTTCGATTAGAATTTTTTTTGACACATCGGCGAGTAATTTGAGTCGACCCATAACCAGATCAACAGTGACCGATTCACCTTCATCTTCGTGCCAACAATCATAATCAGTAACTAAACCAATTGAATTGTAAAATAATCCTGCCTCAGCAGCTAATACAACTTCAGGAAAGGTTGTCATGCCGATGATATCACCTCCCCATGATTTATAAAGCCTCGATTCGGCCAGGGTGGAGTAACGAGGACCTTCAACGACAACAATACAAGCACCGGAACGATAATCAGCTCCAACTGATTTACAAGCATCGGCGATAATTGATTGGACTGTTTTATTAAAGGCATGAGCTTGGGAATGTGAGCCACTTTATGAAATGTCGCTAATCGTGATACAGTCCTACAAGAAATTATGAAGGAAAAATATTAATATTAATAGCAAATATTGAAACGGTAACAATTAACACCTATCAATATATTGATCAACGATGGCGATCATTCCTGGTTTGTAATTTTCTTGTAACGATCCACAGGCATTTGTAACCAGAACATGAGTACAACCGAGTTGCTTCAATGTCCAAATATTGGCTCGATAATTAATATCGGATGGATTTCGATCATGTTTAGCTCCATGACGACTCATAATAACTACTTCAACATTGCCAATTTTACCGGTGGTAACAACATCATCGGATGGTTTACCAAAAGGTGTGGGACTCGTATTAACCTTGACAATATCTTTAACAATGTTGATATCAGCATCTAATCCCGTTCCACCAATAACACCGATTTTAACCATGGTTGAAATTGAAAGAAATTAACTGACAAAAGAAAAACGAAATCAAATTCACAGGTTAATAAAAAGCAAAAACAGAATAAAAAGTAAATAGTTTAGCTATTGATCTGATGAAGAATCAATAACCATTTAACATTGAAGATGAAATATTTATAATTACCAATTAATTGAGATAAGTGAGTTTCAAAATCACTATAGTAATTTAATCTCAAATTGATTACAGTTAATTAAGTAGAAGAATAGTAATACTATTGAGATTAAGATTAATATTTCTCAATACTTTACGTCGATTATTGGATATCAAAGATAAAGTATCTCAAAAGATACTATTCAAAGCTTTAATCTATCACCAAGATTAATTAACTACTCACAAATTGTAATAATTAACAATCAATAATAACAATTAGATGACTTGAAATCCAACCAAATTCGTTGGTAACCAGATAAAGTCATCAAATTAACGAGTTTATCAATCAAATCACAAATTAGAAAATTTTACAACAAACTCACTCCTTCAATTCACAGAAAAACAATCAAATTAAAATTAAACTAAATCACCAAGATACAAAAATTAACTAATCAACTTAATTCTGTTTTGATTAATAGCCAAAAATAGAAAACATGATTTTCTATAAATCGAATGTTCAAAATTTTTTGTTCTTCTCCCATAGATGTCGCCACTTTTTTTGTTTTGATTCTTTTTTCTTATTCACATTTTGTTGTTCATTGAATTTAATTTTTAATCCAATTATTTTCTTAAATTTTATATTCTTCTTTGATTGTTTTCTTTTTTATTTGGTCAATTGTTGTTCCAAGTTTACTTGGTTCTTTCTAGGTGCTCATGGGATTACAATGTCTTCATCTTTTCCTTTGGTTAAGTTGATAAGTTTAGCTGTTCGTCAAATGAGTAAACCGTTAGCTAATCGAATCAAGGAGAAAGCTAAATCAAGTCTATTCTTCCGTACCTACATTTGTATGCCTCCGGCTCAAACTTATCATTGGATTGAAGTGAATGTTAAAATGAAATTACTCAATTTAGGTAAACCCAATCAGGTGACCAAACTCAATGAAAATTCTGCAATTGAACTTGGAGCTGAACTGCTGGGTGAATCTATCATTTTCTGTATTGCTGTTATCACTGTTACATTAGAGTTCATGAGGTATTTTTATTTTCAATTGTCTATTCTATTTCTTATTAATATGTATTGTCATTTTTTACTCTGATTTGCTAATATTTTAATGTTCTTCTCCAATTTAGACAAGCTCGGAAAGCCAATAATGAAGCTGTTAAAACGGAAGAACGATGGTCAAGTACTGAAGAGAAAATGAGCCAAGTTGAGGAGCAGATAAAGAGACTCAACAACATTTAGATTCGTTAATTAAATTATTAGAAGAAAAGAATAAATCATTTCTTGATCCATTGAAAAAAATTTTACCTGTAAAAGTTTAGAATAGTTAAATTACTGTTAGTATATAAACCAATATGAAAGTGTATTCATTTTACTCTGTGATTGTGTAAATATATTTTTGTTAATAGACTAATTAACTTTAATTTAATTACACAAGTATAAAGATAATTATTTAGAGTGATTGTATTATGTATGAAATTTTCCAACATTTCCAAGAGAAGATATTTTTCCAAACTGAGACTCGACTTTCAATTGAAAGGCTCCAATCAACGGAGGACAAATCAACGAAATTGTGTCAAAGATACTCGATCATTCATCAACCAGCTTATTGTGAACTCTCATCAGGCTTTTAAAATATTTAACTGTTTTCACCTTCAATTCAAGAGTCGCATCCTCATCACAGACCAAAGTTGTATTCGGGTGCATTTGAAGAGCAGAAACAGTCCATATGACTTACACCCTCTTCGATAGCTTTATATAAGGCAAACGATTTAGCCGCTCAGTAATCAGAATCATCACTTCTCTGGCATCCATGACCGTTCCAACACCCACGGTTAACGCTTCATGGGAACCTTTGATACATCATTGGCAAAGAAACGCATTGGCCAGAATTGTGTCCATGGCAAGAGTCTTAAGCCGTGTTCGAGACGTTAAACTTGACCCTGGTTCGTTGAAAGCAATATGTCCATCAGGTCCAATTCCTCCGACAAACAATTCTATTCCACCAGAATCGACAATTTTCTTCTCGTAAGCCACATTCAGCCTCCAAATCGGACGCGTTCCCGTCAAGAATATTAACATTAACGGGATCAATGTCAATATGTTTAAAGAAATTGTTGAACATAAATGAATGATAACTTTCGGATGATCTCTTGGTAATCCAACATATTCATCCATGTTAAAGGTTCGTACATATTTAAATGAAATTGATCCTTCTTTATAAAAATTGATCAACTGTTTATAAGTACCAAGAGGTGTACTACCGGTCGGTAGGCCAAGATTGAAGAAACGATCAGGTCCAGGGTTGAATAACTTTATCCGCTTACGAATATACTTGGCAGTCCAAAGAGCGACATCGTCACTATTATCCAATATAATTAATCTCATATTAAATTATTAATAAGGTTGAAGATTATAAAGTCAAGTTGTTACTCAAATAAAGAAAAGGTTATAGAAAATATAATGAGATAATTGATTAACTGTGATGGAAAAAAAAATTAATCGAAATTATCTCGATCAAAACAATCTCTCTCTCTCTCCCTGAAACTGTGAGACAAATCAGGTTACACTGATTCCATTTCAATCATAATTGTCTCATTGAGAATCAACTAATCACTAGTTCAATGGTCTCAATTACCATCAATTATTTAGATACTTTATTAATAAATCACAATCAAAGAGATTCTCAATTGAAGATGAGTGAAAATAAAGTTTCCATGGTTACACTTCACTTATCAATACGAATGAGCAAACGCTCAAAATGTTACATTTAAATACTAATATTTATTAATAGAATTTGTTTTTATCAATTACAATTTGTTTCTTTTCGTCCATTAACATTCAATCTTTTCGATTGTTGTCCCAATTTATTTCCATATTATCGTAATTATCTCGAGCTGAATACATGAGTTATTGGATTGGATTCTATTGCTGTGAACAGTTGATGAACATTTGAATTCTGGTTCGTCTACGAATTTTTTTATCTTTTCGTTGGTTTTTTTTATTTTCTCTCAACTTGTCAGGTAAATCTTATTATTAATCTTCTTTATCCATATTATCTTATTATTTTCTAGTTGAATTGACAGAGGAGCCTCAACGTTTGTATTGGACGAGAAGAAAAGTTTAAATTTCCATCAACGAGATAATTGATTGACTAATTTGCTGATCGATTTTGAAAATGGTTCTTGTTTGTGTTGTTTGCCGAAAGATGAACTTTACTCCTGGAAATGAGCCAGTCGAATGTGCAAAGTGCCACAAATTGTACCATCAAAAGTGTCATAAACCACCAATTAGAGACACCGATGTTATTGGTCCTCGAACGAAATGGTTCTGTGTCAAGTGTATGAAAAAAATGTTCTCGACTGGTAATAAATGAGTTAACAGAAGAAAAAACAACTAAATCTAATTAACGGGTATTCAATTTATAATAAATTTATTCGAAAATCATTTAAATGTCCTAAATTTCGTCTTGTAAAAAATTCGTAACTGTATTATGATAATAAAGAAAACTTAACTAAATGCCAATCGAACGAACGAAAATACTTATAACGATTCCAACGATTCAACTTATCTCGTTTTAATTACAATTTCGAAATTAATTTCGATTAACTTTAATTCTGTTCACTTTTTATACTCATTTAGGTTTCGCGCTGTAAACTATTGATTTTTTTTCTTCTTTCTCTCTCATTCTCTCCCTCTTTTTCTCATCTTCTTCATCCTGTTCATCTTTATTTTCTCTCCCTCTCTCACTTTCCTGGAGAGTTTTCGTTTGGAATTGATTTAAATTGTTATTTCCATTAATTGCCATCAATCTATTTGGTCTAATGATCAGTGATTGTCAATTGATCCATTAAAACACTTTAATCAGTTCCAGTGAAAATTGTGATTTGAATCTTTGCCTTTGTTGTCAATCTGAAGCCTCAATCACCCAATTGATTAACCAGTTTTTCCCTATTTTTATCAAATCATAATCTCGATATTATTTTATCATTTGAAATCATCATTAGAGATTTGATCTCGTCTTCTTCCTCTGTGAATTTGCTTATGTGTCGCTGGTGATTTTGTTTTCCTTTCCTTCAAATGGACCAACTAACATTTTATAGTAAAATTGCTTGGGTAAGTTTAATGGTCTCTAATTAGATTGAGAGCAACTGATTGAATAACAAGTTCACCATCAACAATCAGTTGATTAGTTTAATAATCTTGTTAGGAAATGTTGTAATCAAGTTTGTACCAGTTACCAGTTATATCCTTGAAAATTTACTCAATTTACAATTGATTTTGTTGGAAAGACAAATTCAAATGTGTTGATTGTTATTGTTTTCACAATTTGATGGGGCAATTTGTCATTTGCTATTGATCAATTAATATAAACACTTTGTAAACAATTAATTATATTTCTCTTTTACTCTTTTCCAGGAATATATTCAACCCTATGCTGAGATAGTTCAAGATTCATTGCAAGTACAAAAATCGAGGTTCAACTTTATCGCTGGTAAACATGAGCCTTTTACTTTGGTCGCCGTTACTTCAATCGTTTGGTTTATTCTGGTCAAAATTTGGTTAACCTTTAAACCCGATGTCAATGAAGACTACTGGTCAATATTTAAAAGAAAGTTGACCCAAGTTGTACTCAAAATTCCTGGTATCGGGTCACTTGCCAGGAAGGAGATTAATAAGGTTTTAGATGTGATTGATGAAGAGCTGATGGGCATCTACAAGAATCGACCTTTTCAGACCAATTTACCCGACCGAGGATTAGATGTAAATAAAGTGATGGAAATGGTTGACAATTATTTGTCAATTGGTTCAGTCAAATGGCAGGAAGGAAGAGTTTCTGGCGGAATTTACAGCGATCAAAAAGATACGGCGTTTTTAGATTTGATGGCTGATGTTTACCGGAAAACGGCTTATACTAATCCGTTACATGCCGATGTTTTTCCTGGTATCAGGAAAATGGAAGCCGAAATTGTTAGAATGACATGTAACCTTTACAAGGGAGGACCTGATGCTTGTGGAGTTGTTTCCACCGGGGGAACGGAGAGTATTGTCCTAGTTGTAAAAGCTTATCGAAATTACGCCAAATATGTTAAAGGAATTCGTAATCCTGAGATAATAGTGCCAATCACTGGTCATCCTGCTTTCGACAAGGCTGCAGAGATTTTAAAAGTGCAAATTCGTCATGTTCCTATTGACCCGGAGACGAAAAAAGTTTACATCCGAAAGATGAGAAGTGCCATTAACAGTAATACCTGTTTACTTGTTGGATCCGCTCCAGCATTTCCTCACGGTATTTTTGACCCAATCGAAGAGATCGCCAAGTTGGGTCAACGTTACAATATCCCAGTCCATGTAGACGCTTGTCTTGGGGGATTTTTAAATCCATTTGTGGCTGAGGCTGGTTTCAAAGTCGACGAGAGATTTGACTTTAGTGTCTCTGGAGTAACAAGCATCACCGCTGATACGCACAAATATGGTTACGCTCCCAAAGGAACCTCTGTAGTTATGTATGCCAATGAAGAGCTAAGACGTTACCAATATTTCGTTACACCCGACTGGCCTGGTGGCCTTTATGCTTCCCCAACGATTCTTGGTTCCCGTCCTGGTGGTGTTATTGCTGATTGTTGGGCTAGTCTCATGTATCATGGACACGAGGGTTATGTCGAGAAGACTAGAAACATAATCGAGGTTACCCGATATTTTATTAAAAAAGCCGCTAAAATTGCTGGTATCAAGATTTGTGGTTCACCCAAATTGTCTGTGGTCGCTTTGTATTCAGATGATTTCAATGTATTCCAACTGAGCGATGGTCTCACTCAGAAGGGCTGGAACGTCAATGTCTTACAATTTCCTTCGGCTTTTCATATTTGCTTCACTCAGATGCACACGGCTAAAGGGTTATTGAGACTCTTTTGCAAGATATTGAGAAATTGCGACAAAACTTTACGCTGATCGAGGTAAATACGTCAAATTGGATGGACAAGCCGCTCTTTACGGATGTCCCAAAGTATTCAGACAGATCACTTGTCTCTACTTTCGCCAATCATTTCATTGATTCCTATTACTCGACTAAATACAAATAATTCTTATAAATCCTCTAGAAAAACACTCATGTCATTGAAATTTTAATTTAATAATAAAAAAGTTAATATTCTTAAACCAAAGTTTAATTGGAGAACTAGTTAAACTTAAATGACCAAACAATTACAAAATCTTCCATATTCTTGATCACCAAAAAAAGTCAATTAGTATCGATCTTAACTACTCGTAAATTATTATTCCATAAAAAAAAGTTCAATCAGATTTAACTTTCACCTTTACAATTTATCATTTATCTCTTTACAATCGGAAGCTGAATGATCATATGAAAGTTGATTAAATATTTACTTTAATTGGCATAATAAAGATTAACAATTCTAATCATTTATCATCGGAATTTGATCAGCCAAAACTCTCATCATTCTGCTGTACAAGAGAAACACCCTTAATATGATCATATGGAAAAGCTTTCGGTTGTAATATTAGTTGATTTCATTTGCTCTTTTTTCAATTCTAAGAGTTTTAATTATGTGATCGATAAAAAATATCTCCAAGTTGATAAGTTGATGGATCAAATTTAGTGTGTCAATCGTTTAGTGTCCTTTATTATGATTCGAAAGCGATCATCATCGATCGACGAATCGATTGTCATTGATTTACCACCGACATCATTGCCTAAACCATGTATTCCTTTCAGGTACTTTGTCATGTTCATGATTTTCTCATGCACAATGATTGGGTATTCAGTTAAATCAGTTATAAATGTCGCCATTCTTGCAATGGTTGATAATTCAAACGAAACGTCGGATTCATTGGTCGCGAGACATTGGCTGGGCAAATTTAGATCCTCTGGTCAATTCGAGCAAGTAAGTAAGCGACTGTACCTAAAATGTGTTGAAAGATTCGAGCTCTTTTTATTACTTTAGTCTCAAACATTCAACTGGAATCAATATGATCAAGCTTTGGTCCTCGGTGGGTACTTTTATACCTTCACTGCCTCGCAACTTATTGGTGGCGTTATAACGGATAAGTCAAATATCGTCATTCTAATGAGTTTAACACAAGCATTTGCAGCAATTTGTACTCTTGCAAGTCCGATTGCTGCTTCAATTAGTATCTATTGTTTAATTGCCGTCAGAGCTTTGACTGGTTTGGCTCATGGTGTCATGTTACCTTCGTGCTTCAATCTAGCCGAGCACTGGTTCCCGCCCGGTGAAATATCGTTAGTTCAAAGTTTAATTGCAGTTGGCTGTAATTCTGGTACAGCAATTACCTTAACATTAACTGCCTGGTTGTGTCAATCTAACCTTTGGGGTGGTTGGCCCTCTGCATTTATCATCATTGGAATTGTCAATTTAGGTTATGCGGTCATTTTTTACTTGACCATGTCAAATGATCCACAATCAAGTCGTTTAACAAGCAAATGGGAAAAATCATATCTTTCCAAAGTAGTTGTAAACAAAGTGACGACGAAAAAGGTATTAAATTAATCAATCTAAAATTCACAGTTACACTCCAATCAACTACATAGAAATAATTAACATTCATGATAATAATTATCAGACAAACTTTTAGATTGGATTACACCTCAAATGAATTTCGTCAATTTAAAACAATTTAGCTTGATGTTTGTATCATTTTCTATTAGCTTAAAACCCCATGGATTTCATTGTTCACTTCTCTACCTCTATGGTCCATTTTTTGGGTTCGAGGATTAAGTGGATTAGCTTATTATACAATTAACACTAAAATTCCAGTTTATCTTGAGCAAATACTTCATTATGATATCACTAACAATGGATTAATCAATTCATCGTTCTATGTGGTCATTGCTCTTGCACAATTGATTACTGGACCATTGGCTAAATTAATTATTCTCAAAAAATGGTTACCAAGAACTTTGACCAGAAAAATTTTCGAATCTTTTAGTAAGAAAATAAACAGAGAAACGTCCATCATTTAATCTGCTAATCAATTGATTTCATTTGTTAGTTTTACTTGGATTAGTTATCGGCTTAACGTTGATCACTTATTTGGGTGACAAACCAACACTTGCAGTTATCACTCTAATTGTTACAATGTTTTTCTATGGATTTGATTCTGGTGGTGATGCTCCTATGGTACCAGAAATGGCTCCTAATTTGGTTGGTACTGCGTTCGGATTTGCTAATACAATGAGATGCGCTTCGGGTTTCATTGCACCAGCACTGATTGGTTTTATTATTGGTGACGATGTAAATTCATTTAGTTTAATTGATATCAGTTTGTCATTAATACTTTTCTTTTGTTTTCAGATTAAATCAGAAAGTAAATGGTTTTTAACATTTCACATAATATCTGGTCTTCAGATTATTGCATTAATAATTTTCCTCGTCTTTGCTACCGCTGAACCTTTACCTTGGGCTACTATTAACTCTGATACTGAAGATGAGGAAGTAGATGGTGAGACAATTGTGAATGCTGGATAGTTAATTTAATATTATTTAAGTTATCAATTTAATCGATCAATTCAATCATTTTTTAACCAATGCTGTTTGTAACATTTCCAATATTATTGTATAAACTTCGGAAAAGATTTTGTTACTTTTTCCGCCTTATTTCAGATTCATAGGATTCCAAGGATTCTCTGTAAAGAATAAAGAAAAATGATATTTTAGATATAATTGACTTTAATTGAATTCTAAATTAGCTTTTAATGGAGAAAATCTTACTTGAAGAGTAAAAGACGTTGCTCTTCATCACGATGTTCATCCATCCAAGCAGAATATCTTGTTATGGACCAGCCACGATTTTCATGAGCAGATTTCATCTCTGATGGCCCTTGGGTTGATATCAAAAATTGGATCACAATTGAATAGGGAATAAGTTTGCCAATAGCTTGAGATTTAATTATCGCTGAAGGTTCATGGAAAAGTAATGATTTAAATGCCCGAAGGATACGATAGTGTTTACCAAGATCACCGATTAACTGATGGAATGTAGATAAAGCCTCTTCTAATTGAGCGAAATCAACAGCTAATCTCATTTTGACATTCTGAGTTAAGGGTCGGATTAAGGTTGCATGGCGAAGGAATAAATCGATGGTTCGAACGGCAACTTTTAGAATTCTGGTGAAAAAATATGAATAGAAATTTAAAAAGTGGGAAAAATATTCCATCAAAATATAAGAAGAGACAATTACCTGTTCCGAACGACCGGAGTGTCAGGGAAAAGTGAAAAGTAATCAGCATTTACTCTCGTGATGAATCCTTGAAGTTCTCGCATATAAAGTGAACATTGAGGGGGACCATTGAGAGAACTGCAATTAAAAAAAAAAGAGAAAATTAGTATAATCAGTTAAGAATTAGGATTATGATGATGGGCCATTTAAATTATATTTACTTGGAAAAATCTTCATTGTGAATGGTCAGTATAATGGCTTCGATTGAATCTTGAGCGGAATTCATAAGTGGATCAAGTGTATTGATTATTAATGAATCTAAATTGTTTAAATAATTACGGACAATTTGTATTGATTCATCACTTGATTCACACGAAGATAATAAGGTTTCCATTTGATTTCTAAATGATTCAAGTCGATGAACGATTGTTGCATTACATTGTTGTGATTTAGTCGCTGGTCCAATTACTTGAGTGGCATCTCCTTCAACACAAATTAACTTTTCACACTTAACTAGAAACATTTGCACTGATTTACCAATATTTTTGGCCACTGATTGACTTAATTCTGGATCTAAATTAGCAACATTCATTTCGGAAACAAGAGTTTTAATAAGTGAATCGATATCGTCCTTAGTTGGTAATACAATTTCACGAATACTGATCAACGAGCCTGATGACGACGAGTTTTCCTTTGTGTCGGTGAAAATTATGTTGACGGCATCGAAAAGCAATGAAAGTGACCTCGAAAGGTAAGCACTTTCGAACGGGTGTAAAATTGATCTCATCATAGTCTCAAGATTGATATCTTTATCATCTCGAGATAATCTCTTCAAACTTCGGTAAATAAACGAAGGATTCTCGGATATTCACCTTCAAGAACTTCCTTGATTATATTTGATGAGACATTCGCTTTAATCATGGCCTGAGAGAGTAGATTGTTGATCCGAGTGATGAATTCAATCAATCCATTTGGCTTTGAGGTACTTTCGAGAAGACTTGATTGATTAAGTGGATCTCGTTTCTTTTTAATATTTTGAAAAGTAAATCAGCCTGAGAGAGGCAATGAAAATCTGTTCCATCAGATTTTCAATGTTATCCCACAATTTAGTCTTGTAATTTGCTGATTGAGCCAAAGTCATTGGGACAATGGCACTTCCTGGACCAGTTGAACGGGTTTGATTGTAAGTGGACATGTCAAACACATCACGAATGGTTGAGATTATCTTTTGCTCTTTCGATTGTAAAAATAGATCTATTTTCTCATCGAGAATATTAAAAAAGTAATAAACATGAAGAGCAACACCAACAGAAACAGAGTCCGATTTTGAGAAACCATTAGCGAAACAAGTATTGGCTATTTCAAGGATATCGTTTTGCTTATCGCCCAATTGGATTAAATCGCCCTTGATAATATCGATACGAAGGAGACTATCATCTTGAGAGATTAGGCTGTTCAACTCGTGGACAAATTGTGCTGCTTTAATCACTTCACGGTTGATTGTTGGTTGATCGGCTTCCTTGAAATCAGTTTGCTTGAGACGACGGAAAGTTGCATGAAACGGACAATACGACGGAGAAGATCACAGGTCGCATGCAGGCGATTAAGAAGAGCAATTCGATGGGCAACCTATTGTAAGGTTCGATGAGACGAGTTCGTAATTTGTCCAAAGTGCATGTGAGTGTTTCAATCTTTCCTTGGATTACAGATAAATGATTTTCCAAGATTTCTACCTTGTTGGTCTCGTTGAGAAGTTGATCAAAATCACTGGAAATCAAATTTTGAAGATCACCTTCAATTAACATTCGAGCTTGTTCAAGCTTTTGAACCGTCTCGGGGACTTAGTTGAGTAAGAAGATCATCAATCGACAGTGAAGGGGTAGAAGAGGATTTGGACTCTGATAGTAGCGATGATAAAAGTTGATCAGCTTTAAAAGCTTCGAGAGGCTCATTTAATGTTGAGTTCATTTTGTTAGAGTCTTGGTTGTTTGTTTTTTTCTTTGATAAAGTTTATGTACTAATTCACTTCACTTTTAAGGGTATGTAAATTGATACATGTAAATTAGTTTGTTTGCTGAGATAAGTGTAACTTGACACTGTGAATTAAGTGATAAGGTGATTTTTGGGTTAAATGGAAGAGAGTATACAAGGGATAAAGGGAAGATAGGGATTGACTATTTAGAGAGAATAGAGTAATAAAGGAAAAGGTTTTAAAGAAATTTATGGAAAATGATAAGGATATTAATGGAAATTAATTGCCCGCACGAATGGGTGGGGAAACCAGGATGACACCATCACCTCGGACAAAAAGCATGGGAACATTGCGTTTGGTTATTTTGTATACTTCTTCATATGTTTCTTCATCAATCTCAACATTGGTAATAATTTCCTCCACGTCACCAAGAACAATGTTTAAATGTTGATCATAAGCATGAAGAAGACCTCTCAATTCACGACCATGTCGCATCTTAACGTAAATCCTTTCATCCAAACTCAATCGAATCAGATCTAATGGTTCTTCAACATTATTGGGATTAGTCTATAAAATTGAAAGATGAAAAAAAGACACAGAAATTCAGAATTTATATCAATTGGAAACAGAGAACATACAACAAGTAGTCACAAGTAAAGAACATGAGGGAGCAAAGAAAATAAAGGTAGATGAGAGAAAAAAGCAAAGAGAAAAGTAAAAATGATAAAAGCAAAACAACATTCAACTAAACATGAAAGTGGAAATAACAATGAAATAAACGCCTTCATCTAAACACCGGTAGCTGTTAACTATCATCGACAATATTGAATTTACTTACAGTTTCAGTATGTTCTTCCATAATTAACCAAGATGAATGAATAAGAGACAATTTTAATTAAAGAAAATGAGATGACAAAGTTCACAATTAAACGAAATCCGAAACAATTAATGGTCCATTCAGAGAATTAGCCTAAACTCTAATCAACCGAAGGCCTAAAAACGCTAAACAATGGTAACCATGACTACGAAATTCGGTGGCGGTTTTTTCGAAAAACGAAATGTTTCCTCTAAAAATCATCGAGAATTCGAATAAAAAACAATAAATTGATCGAAATTAACAAAAAATTTTATTTCCATTTGTGAATAAAGAAATGAATGTTTATCGCATAGTTTTCTTTTCTTCAATCAATCCAAGAGAACCGAAGAGTTTCCAATAAAATGATGGAACTTTGAATGAACATGTAAGAAAACCATTCGAAGTGTGAATGAAAATGAAAACAAACGAATAAGATGAAGTATGACAATGATGATGAAATAGAAGGAGGAAAATGGAAAAGAAAGATAAACATGATGGGATGAAAGAGAGAGTGAGAGAGGTAGGAAATTAAGATGAAATTAGAAGATAAAAAAAAGATGCAAATGATTGAAGGTAAGAAAAGATGAAAAGAAAACTGGATCGTTTATTCAGTCGGGATTTTTAATTCTCTCTCTTTCTCTTTCTCTCTCACTATTATCATCATCTCTTTTGAAACATTCTTGGGACAAGATGATGATAATGATAATGATGAAAAAGAAAGAGACAACTCCCATCCCTGAGGGAAGGTCAAAGGAAATGATTCTCTTAAGGCAACGAATTGAACGGCGAAAATTTAATAGAAAATAAGTTAAGCTCATGACGAAATATTACCAGAGAAAAATCGAGATTAATCCTGGGAGATTTTTCTCTCTCATCATCATCGTCATCATCTCCATTATCTTACAAGGTAAATTAATAGAAATTAACTTAAACAAGAGAAAAATTAACAAGATATAATTTTCTTTTCGCAATTTCGATTAATCAATCAATTCGACTTTTCTTTTCTTCTCAAAATCAATTTGACTTTTTCTCTTTTTCTTTTGAGAACGAAGTTGATTAGTGGAAAACCAGTTCATGATTAAGTGAAAAAGTGATTTAATATACATAAGAAAAATTGGATAATCATTTATATTGTTAATCATTTAAATTGTTGTTTGGTAGCATTTGTAACTTGTTTAATTTGTTTGGAGGCTCAGAACGGACAAGGTCAATAGGAATTAAATTTGAGGATCAAGATTAAACTGGTAACCAAATTGTCATTACAACTAAATGATGTTTAGATTATGAAACATATGTAACTGGATTTAAATTACATATTAGGTTCAGAAATTAAATTGCATTGGGATTGAAAATCCGGATTAATTGAGATAAAGTTTTAGATTAAACTTTAACCTTGAAATCGTCAAAGTTTTTTTTTACTCCATATGATTGATATTGTGTAACTTAATTGTGGTTAATGTCATGAGGATTTGAATGAGTTTGGAAAACTGTAGGATTTTTATTTTAATTGTTTCGAATTGGGTTTTTGATTATTGACAAATCAATGTTGATTTACGATTGATGATTAAGTTTTTTTTGCCTCATTTGGGTTAATTGACAATGAGAATCGTTTGGACAATTTTGGAGTTTGTTACGACAATTGGGACGAGGAAAATAAGCATTTACAGGGTTAAGATAATACTTTGATTTTTTTATTAATTTTGATTAGATTTGATCGCCTACATGATTATAATTATTGATTTAATCCAATTTAAGGTCAGTATTTATTATTTAAGATCAATTTGTTATTATTTTATAAAAATGCCAATTGGATATTAAAGTGACCTTGTGGCCATAGTTGGTTTCCTTCAAATGAATCAAATAACATCTTTAATCAAGGGTGGGAATCAATAGTCAAAATATTCGGGCGCCGTCAGATTCAGGGTGGGGTTTTCATCTTTCTCTTTCTTTCTCTTTCTTTTTCATCTTCTTTTTATTTCTTTTTTCACTTTCTCTCGTTCTCACTTTCCCTTTCTCTCTCTCTTCGTTTTCTCTCTCTCTCTCTCTCTCTCTCTCTCTCTCTCTTTCTTTCTCTCTCTCTCTTTCTCTCCATCCTCATCCATCTTCCTCTTCTCACTCAAATTAACTTTTACTCTCACTTTCATCTTAATCTCACTTTAATTTTTGGTATAAAAGGCTGATTCCCTCTCAATCTAAATCATCATTCACAATCAGTTAATTCATTTATTCACTTGATCAAAGTAATCAAACAACAAACCAACTAACTAATCATGAAGGTAAGTTTTTCATTTACTTTTCTCTTGACTTTTTATTTTTTATCAATTAGATTCCTAGAAATTCAATCAACCAATCAACTGATTAATTTTCTATCTGTGGATTATTAGGTCATCATCTTCCTCGCTCTCTGCGGTATTGCCTCAGCTGGAATCATCGCCGCCCCAGCCGCCATTGTCTCAACTGGTTCATCATCACAAACCCGAAGCCAAGATGGTCTTGGAAACTACGCTTTCGCTTACAATGAAAACCATGCCACCGGTGGTTCATCACGAAGTGAATCTGGAAACGCTCTCGGTCAAGTTGTTGGATCTTACTCACTTGGTGTTGTTGATGGAAGACAACGAGTTGTCAACTACGTCGCTGATGCTCTCGGTTTCCGTGCCGCCATCTCAACCAACGAACCAGGTACCGCCCCTAAGCCCGCTGCATCCACCAGCATCTCATCACCCGGAGTCATCGCTGCTGCCCCAGTCGCTGTTGCTGCTCCAGTTGTCGCAGCTGCCCCAGCTCCAATTGTAGCTGCTGCTCCAGCTTTCGCTCCATCTTACTATGCACCAGCTCCAGCTAAGATTGTCGCAGCTGCCCCCGCTTATGCCCCCGCTTATGCCCCAGCTGCCCTCCCCGTCGCCGGTGCTCATTATTCCAGCGTAATCAACCACGCCTCATACGCTCCAGTAGCCGCCAAGGTTGTTGCTGCTCCAGCTTTCGCCGCCCCCGCTCTCTGGTAAATTAATTAATACCATCAATTAATTGTAACAACTATAATGATAATTGTCTAAATTTATGAACAAACTGCCAAATAATAATAATAATGTCAATTCACAATTTGTAAATTGCTCAACCAAGTTTCTCATTCATTTCTCATCTATTATAATATTTAATCTCGGCTTATAATCAATATTATAATATAATCTAACATAATAGTCAAGTTCATTAGATTAATTAACCAATAACCAAAAACTAAAACAAAACAAAAACAAAAACAAAAATCAAAACAAATTAAAATGAAACAATCAGTTAATCAACTTTAAATCAACAACATACACAATCGGGTGTGTTTATAATCATCATCATGTTGTTTTGTTACCATTCAATCAATTCAAATCAAAATCAAATTCAAATCTCTCTCAAATCATTAAACAGTTATTATCAACTTTTTGACCGGAATATGTTACAATAGTTTAACATGGTAACACTCAGGGTATAACAAAAAACTTATCACTTCCTCATCAATAAAAATTTCAAATTGTTATCTAAGCCTCAGGGTCAGTTAATCAACTAATCTTATCCTTAAGTTAATCGTTAACGATTTACAAACTCAACAAAAAGTTTCTTTCATCATTCAAAATCTTAACAATTAACTCCCTGATTATCAAGTCAATCCTACAATTTAACATCATTTGCACCTTTATTTTCAGCTCTCATTCGTATTGTTTGTTGATTATCATGTATGAATATATGAAACAACAATTAGAACCTTCAAAAAAAAGTAGAAATTAAAAAAAAAATGAAAAACATTTTCCAACCTCACGGTTGTTTGTTCATTTTCAATGGTATGTTTTTGCAAACCAATTGCCAACAATCAATTGATTCAGTTTAAATCATGAAGCTGATGGTTGATGATTAAAAGTTTTCGTTCAATTTTCGTGAATTGCTCAAGGCTTAAATTAACCACTTAATGTACACAAGGTCAGTGATTATTAGACTAGGTTAATAATGTTGTTGTTGGTTGATTAAGATGATTAATGTTATTTATTTATTATCCAAGATGAAGATGAAAACAAAACAAAATGTAGGTAAGGATACAGGTAAGGAAGAGATGATTAAGTTTAGAATTAACAATTTTAAAATTCTACAAATTTAATCCAACATTGTAATTGATTATAATGGCCTTTCGAAGAGTTAATTACATTGTAACCAATCATTTATTACTCAAAGACGATCCTTTGTTTACCGTTATTAAGCGTAACAAGGTTACCAATTCACTCGCCAAGGAGATCGCTTTTCTCAATCATTGTGCCGCAATTTTGGCCTTAGTTTCCGCTACCATTGGTTTAATGTCCATTTTTTATGAGGCCAAGGCTCATCTTCAGATCATGGGATTTGCATCCATATTTCATATCTGTGGTTCCATAGGAATTGAGTCTTATAAGAAGCGGAAAAATCGCTACCTTCTCTTACTAACTGGCCTTTGCAATGTTGCCTTTTTTGGGGTCAGTCAGGTCTTCTTGATCCTTTTCATCCTCGTAGGTGAGTTGACAATCATTTTCGACTTCGATCTGATTCATAATATTACAATCGATATGTTTTTTTTTATCTTTTCTTTCATCAATCAGCTGATGCGGAATCATATCCTTCAAAGCGAGATTTCAATTCGGAAACTTTTTTCCATGTTATTTTAATTCCTTGGATTTTATTGTCAATCATTATTGAACTAATGTTCCTAATCTTAATTATTTACTTGGCCGTTTCTAAAAAGATTCTAATTAGTTTGAACAGATCGGCTAATTAACAGATTAGGTAAACAATAACACCTACGAATTCAATATACATACATTGACCATCTCTACATAATCCAATTGACCACCGTTGAGAGTAAATTGTGATTCTCAGCTTTCCATCATCTAAATCAACGATTTAATTGGCAATTAATCAAGCAAAGGTCAAACATTTAAGCTGTGATTTTAATCTGTGTTGTGTTTTAATCGTTAATTTCATTTCTCTCTCTCTCTCTCTCTCTCTCTCTCTCTCTATTAACCATCAATAACATGATTACAATTTAAAAGTTAAATTATCAATGTGACAAGCTGAAAGGAGAAAGTATATTAAATTGTTAAATCGTAATGATGATTAAGATACACACACATGTAGATAAACATTAACCATTTGATTAGCAATTAACTGTAAACCTTGAACTGAAATTGATTAACAGTAATCAAAACAAAAATTGGCCTGATATCTGTGATTGAAATGAGAATGAGTAAATTGTTGATTGTTGTAATTCATTTCGTATTAAATTGTTTTCCAGATAAAAATCAAATCTGATTAACATGGTTGTCATATAACAATTAAAACCAATTCTAAGTCTATTACCATGTATATCATTTATTTATTGTAACCTAACAATTAATTTAATCAATTAGAGTTACCATTTTAATCAACACTCAACTAAATTGTGTTACAATGTAAACAAATTGTAATAAGCTAATGAAACAATTAACTTTACATTTGTGATGCTTTTCAAATTGAACACGATTTAATTATTGATCATGATCTTACTAGTGATTAAAATGCTATTGTTAAAGTTAATTCATCTTTTAATTGCTATGATCAAATTTAATTCAGTTCATTACCTTTTTCGTGGCGAGAAACTTGATTTACTTATTTAGAGTCATAACTAAATCAAATTAAATTGGTGTTCTAATTAGATAAAATTAGATTGTTCCTCACGCCTTTATAAATTTGATCACCAAATTAACCAACATCCATTTAATCATAATCGGAAATAAATCAACAATCAAGATAATCCAAAGTAAATTAACTTGTTAAAATTTTAATTTAGTTAACCATTATCACCATTAAATATTATTAATACTAATTAAAGTAAATTAGTAACAATTTGTTTCAATATCTGATTTTTTCACCATAAAATGAATCTTTTTTTTTAATTAACTATTTACAATTAATTAATTCAGTTTGACAACATAAATCTTATTATTTTTGCTTCTTTTGACACCTTATCAGTAAGATTAACCCGAAAATACAACCTTAATCATTAGTTAATCACTACAATTATCCTTACAGTTATAATCACGTTCACAAAACCACAATTACAACTTAAGCCTCTCTAAATTGTTTAACAATTTAATCAAAAACGTTAAAATATAAAAATATTACAAGAAAATTAAATAAACGAAACCTTGATCATCGTTAAACGATTCAAATTGTAATTAAACTCGTAGTTCTTTAATTGTATTATAATACAACAATTAAACAGTATAATTAACAATCATTCCAAGTTAATTAACCAACTCGTGATGATAATAATATAATCCAATTTTGGGTTGTCAATAGATTTACTTAATCAATTGGCTTTTTTGTTCATTGATCATCAATTATAAGGTAAGTAAATTGTTGTTTTTTAATTATTCTAATTAATTGCTTCCTTATCTTAATGAATCGTCTCGCCAACGTAATCTAATGTTAAGAGGTTAGTTGATTAGTTGATTAGTTTGGTTAATCAAAAGGTGTTAACTTAAATAAGAATCGATTTGAAATCGATTGACCATGAAATAGTTTTCCTTTTAATTATTATCATTTAATAGATTTGATTGGTTCATTGATTGTTGATTGATTGATTGTGTGAACTTTTCTGATTCCCAATCAATGTACAAATCGTAATGTGGGTTTACCCGGTTCATGATTATCGTGATTAAATTAATGATCTTTAAACAGGTAAGTTAAAGTGTATCAATGTTACGATGATTAACTAACAATTTAGCTCAACAATTGAGATTTGATTTCTCTCATTTTTTTCTTGTTTACTATTATTATCTAATAGCCATCAAATTGTTACCTTGAATTAGTTTTAATTGTAATTGAAAAGTGTGAGTGGTGACAATTGATTGTTAATATAATTAATTTCCTTCCTGGATAACAATTGATTATGTATTCATGGTTTGGTTTTTTGTTTACTTGATGAATAATTAAAATTGATTTGGTTGTTGGTTAATCAAGGAAATGATTTCTGTTGATGGTTTAGTTAAATCATCGCAATTAATTTTCATCAATTTAGGTTTGGAAATGTTATTGTGTCAATCAGATATATTGATGTTTGACTAATTATTAACATGATGAAATTTACATGTTTCAGTTAATCAAATCTAATCAAATTTTAATTGTAAAGGTGAAACTTGATGATACATAATTTTATTTACATATTTTGTGTATTAATTATAATCAATTAATATTGACAACTTTCAATTAGGATTAACTTAATTGTAACACTTTTACCATTGTGTCAGTTTCAATTTTTCATCATGATTGTAATCATTTAAATTGTGCTTCCTGATTACTGATATTTCATCGTTACAATTAGAGGTTAAATTGTCACCTGCAATTAACTATAATAGGCAAGATGATATCCAAATTATTTACCATTCAAATGTTAGTTGGAAATTTGATCTTACAATTTAAAATGGATAATATTTGTTCAGGTTGACAATTAAATTATTAATCAAAATATAATCAACTACTTGACATTAAATCATCGTTGAGGGTCAACTGAGTTTAGAGGTCACTTTATCTTTGGTCAAATAATCTGAGATTCTGAAATGTTAATCAATTTTAAATTAGATTGACTCAAGTGAGTTAATCAACAATCAATGGAAAAGTTGATTAAATTGTAAACATTGAAAATTTAAATTCCCTAAGAGTTGATTGAGTTAATTTCCTTAAATAGTTATCATGTTATTCATGAAATTAAGATGGAAATTTTTCCTACAATTAACAAATTATAATTCATTGATTCATGCTAATAATTAAACTTATCAATCAATATTAACCTAAATTTTACTATTGATTGTTGTAAAATTTATCTAATATATTGCAACGATTAAAATCACCTTGACATTTGATGGTCAAAGCTAAAAAATTTTGATTTGATTAACAATCAAACAACTGAAAACAATTAGATTAACATAATTTTTGCATCAGGAAACATTAAATTGTAAGGGAAAGTATTATTAAGAAAAACTAACCATTCAGATCTAAATTAACAATCAAATTTGATTGTTTCTTGTTATCATTCAATTTAATTCAGTTCGTTTATTGTTATTTTTATCAATTTCTGTTCTAGTTAAACCTAAAAGATGATCATGATTATCAAACATTTGTCAAAAGAGATATTTACTTGTTAATTGCCTGAGGGTAACGAGCATATTGTAATGTATGTGTTAAATTATTAATTGATTTTGACACTTGATACCAATGTAACCAGGTTAATTGTACTTCCTTACGGCCTTTTGAACGTTCACAATTAAAACAAACAACGATAATATCAAGTGATAGTATTAAATTGTTGTATTGATTAACTGTCCAGGTTAACCGATTGATGAAATTGATGAGGATGTTAATCAATGATAGTAAAGGGAAAAAGATTTAAGATGAAGATAATATGTCACATTACATGTAAACAATTAACTAATTAATATTGGAAAGACTTTACCTCAGGCTATATTCAAACATGTAACCTTTTTGTTTACTTTTTTATTTGATTTCACTTGTTTTTGGTTAACCTTTTTTTGTGTAAACAATTAAAACCATAAGGGTAAATCGTTCAGTAAATCATTTTTAATAATCAATAAATTACACTTTAATTAGTTAATTTATAAACTTTGATCAAGGTAAAATTGATAATTAGCACACAATCGATCACCCAACGATTTGGAACTCTCTTCAAGGCATTTGGTGCGATGATATAAATTGATTCACAAACGGTCAGTATTGAACAGTTAATTGTTAACAGTCACGTTGTTAAATCATCTTTTTGTAAAAACCAATCAAATTCACAATCAACATCAAACTCAAAATGATTAAGGTAAGCGAAAGATTAAAAAAAACCAACATCTTTATCCATTGGATTTGTGGATGTGTTGATTGTAATTGTTTTTTCATTTCTTTCTTATTGTTTCCAGATCGTTGGAATCGTTTTAATTGCTCATTTGAGCCTCTCATCAGCCTCGGCGATTCTTTCATCATTACCTGTGGCTGTTGCGAACACCGGTAATTCAGTTCAAAGTCAAACTCAAGATTCTCTTGGTAATTATGCTTTTGCTTACACGGAAAATCATGCCACCGGTGGTACATCTCGTAAGGAATCAGGTAATCCTCTTGGTCAAGTGGTCGGTTCTTACTCGTTAGGTATTGTTGATGGACGTCAACGAATCGTTAATTATGTTGCCGATGCTTATGGTTTCAGAGCTCAAGTTTTAACCAACGAACCAGGAACTGCACCAACTGACCAACCCTTACCTGTAGCTCAACCTGTTCCAGTTGCTGTTGCTCATCAACCTACAGCCTATCTTACTGGTCACCCTGGTTATCCTCAACCAGCTTTACCAGCCGTTCAACCTGTAGCTTATGCACCAACTTACAGTGTCTCACCTTATCTTGGTTAAAATTATCATCTTAATCTGTGTGTTCACTTGTGTTCATTTTAACATTGGATTAACTGTGATCTAAACTACAAAATTATCTGATAATCATCATCAATCACCTTCATCATTAGTGTTAATCACAATTAACAATTTAGTACAATTTTTCTTACCCATTGTTTTCTACCATTGTTCATTGATCCCTTTGGATTTGATTGATAATTAATCGTAACCAGTGTGATTTGTTGTTAATCAAATGTTCATTAAAAGTGATAAATTATTTTCGGATTAAGATTAATTTGCATTTCTAATTACAACGAATAGTCAATTTTAATTGTGATTTAAAACAAATATCTTGTAACAAAAAATACAATTTAAACGATAATAAATACTTGCTTGAAAAAAAAAACTTAATCAAATGTGATTCAAATTGTTTAATTTTTAATTGTGCTTCCAAATTTACTAATTGTGATTCATCAATCATTCATCTAAAAATTTGATTTGAATTAAATTTATAAATTGTGATGAAAAATGAATTGAATGATTTATTTATCATTGATCAACATTCATTATTTAATAAGAATTCATTTTCAAGGTTAGTTTGTATTATTTTGCTTGATTGTGTAACAATTAACAACAATCAACTGATCAGGTTAGAAGTGAATTAAATCAAAGGTTTTTCAATTGAAGATCAAATCGATGAATTATATTAATAGTTGCATAATAATTCAAAATGCTGAATAAGAATAAGAATAAACTATTTCTTTTAGAACTTTTGTTTATCGAATTCGTTAGAACAAAAAGTTCGAAACGAAAGTCCTCGAAAAAAACTGGGATGAGTTTCGAAAATTTTTTTCGATCAGATAAAGATTCGAGTTAGTCGAATGTCGATTTCTAGAAGATCTAAAGAATTCGCTCCTCAAAATCTCCGATTCTCTTATTGACTTGTTTTCATTTTCTCCTGGAATCGAATCATGGTTCGTGTTGCAGTTCGAAAGAAACTTTGAACATTTCTGAGTATCGTTCGAGTTACGAAAGTTGTAAACATTAGATAGATTGTATAGAAAATGATGGAAAACTGTTAATTGTTGATCTTGAAATTATGTTCCTATTAACTGAATTGATATTTTTGGAAGAAATTAAAAATTTATTACTCGTTTAACTAAATTGCATTTTAATTTCTATCTGATAATGAACTC